ACATAGAATATTCTTATATGCTACATATACTATTAATTAATATTAATTAATTATTAATTATAGAACATCATTATTTTCAGTGATAATTTGATACAGGACTAAATCTGAAAATGTCACCTTTCTCAATTTATTGAAGCTCTACCTCAGGGAATCTACTTACTAATTCATAGTTTTTCCCCTAAACTTTGGTGATTCAGTTCAGCAAATAGCTAACTAATTATTTTTCTGAAAAGACCTTAACTCTAATTCAACTAAATCAACTCAACTGGCTGAAGCAATGGGTTTATAAGTACATTACCTATAACAAGAATTAATATCGCAGAGTGCCAATGTCTGCCTTTTAATGTCTTGGGTTTTCTCTTTCTATAATGGCTTGTCAATGCTTTGCAACAAGCTCATTGAACAAGCAGGTAACTGTTGCTGGGTAGACATAAGTGTAGCGGGGGTGGAGAGAGTCTGGGTTTTGAAGTCAAAGCCACCAGGTCAGGCCTGGCAAAGATGTGGCACTCACGCCGTGGCACCCCCACCTACTCTCGTGACAGACATTACTAATTGATCGCAGCACTCCTCTTTTCTCTCAGAGCCTCAAGAGGGCCTTATAATCTTCACTCCAGCACTATAGGCTGCCAATATCATTTGATCAGATTTGGCACCATGGCAAAGAAGCTGCAAAATGCTTAGGTATTCACTTTGCCACTTCCAAACGGTAAGATCCTAACAATTTCCCACACCACTCCACATTGATAATTTCTGTTCTGTAAAAGGAGAACTAAAGCATCAACTTCTGTTACCTGCATTTAACTGACATGCAGATTACACAACACAATACCCAGGCTATTTTAATATTTCAAACCTGACACAGTCAACCTAGCGGGTCAATGAGAAAGCTTTAGAATTCTGTACCCATTCACTATTTCTTGCCTCAGGTTTCCTATTTTCTTAAATACAATACAGATTATTTGCAGTATCTAGATATCTTCTAGCTATAGTTCCTTCTAGTTGCTTCCATGACGTTCTTGTTAGTGCCTTGCAACTTTCATATGCATACGATTTTTTCTACTGGGTGATACACACTCTGGGTGTATAGAGAACATCATACGGGTGCTCTGAGAAATGACATTTCCCCCTTTTCTGTTGACGTTCGTACCAAACTTTTACGTAAGATGTGATTCGATCATAACAATACCTACGCACTGAGTTGTGAAAGTCAAATGAGAACTTCTTTTGGCAAGTGCCATACTCTATTAGCTATTTTTAATTCTTAGGAGAAGGACAGGAAATCCGCAGGCATATGTCTTGGATAATTGGTTTCAGAGGGATGGAAAATTGGCTGAAGCTTATTTCACAGAAACACAAGGAAGGGAAGAGGAACTAAACACCACTGTCTCTTCCTTCCGTTCCTTCCCCTACAAGACCCTCACTGCTCATAGTAAAGACCATAAGCAAACACCAGCCTCACCTCAGGTCACAGTCTGTGCCACAAGGTTCAGTAATGGGTCCTGGCTGGGGCAGCCGGTCACATCTTTGATCAGAAACCGTAAGCTGATCAGATTCCCGGGTGCAAACGGGTTTGCGCTTCCGCTCCCCTAGGCAAGGAAGAAAACAATCAGAGAAAAGCACCCATTCTATAAACTAGTTAGCCCAGGGACTGACAAACATTTTCTGTACTGGGTTAATTAGTTAATATTTTTGGTTTTGTGGGCCTTATGACCTCTGTGACAACTACTCCACTCTGCCATGATAGGACAAAAGCAACCATTCATAAACAATATGTACCCATAGGTGTGGCTGCATTCCAATAAAACTTTACTTATAAAAGCAGGTAGCAGGCTGGATTTGGCCCACTGGCTGTAATCTGCTAACCCCCAATTTAGGCAGGAAACAAGATGAATGACACGTAATATGACTACTAACTCCATGTCTCTGGAAAATCAAAGTGGCAGAACTGACTTTCTTGGCTTCACAATGTATATGAATTGCTTAAAAAGAGGAAAGCCAACAAATCCCGAATCGCTTAAAAAGAGGAAAGCCAACAAATCCCAAAACACTTAAAAAGCTCAACTTGCCAGCTAAAAATAACCAGAAAGATGCAGGGAAAGGAGATTTGAGAATGCATGCAGATAGAGTTTTATAGATCACATGTGTTTGGCTGCCTCCAAAAAAACAAACAATAAATAAAAAGAAACAAAAAACAGTTCAAATCCCCAAAACACAACCGAAAAGTAGATACCTTGGCAGGGTTTGCTGCAGGCTTGCCAGGGCCCGTGACTGTTCCAGTAAAACTGCTGGGGTTTGTCTTCAATTGGAATATTGAATGAATAGCGCACATCAGGGTTGTATAACTTTCCCACCGACAACACCTGGGACAAGTGGACAAAATGGAGACGATGTTTGCAGGTCTGGTGATTCCAAGTGGAAGGAAAGGGTGGTGGGCTCATGGCCAAGTTTTTACCTGAAGCAAAAGTTCTTGTTCGATGCGGTCTGTGGAGTTAATTCTTTCCACGACATTGTCGGACCCGCTGTACTCTATCACAGCGTTCCCAATGCGGATTTCCCTTTTAGACATTGTGACCACGAAGTCTCCATTTAGTAAGAATTCACCTTTACTGCTTGATAAAGCTGTAGATGAGAAACGAGAATTCACTGATTTTCTGCCAATGACTCACTGTCTGAATTATGAAATAACACTCTGATAGACAGAGAGTCAGAGCGCAAAGAATATAAACTTTTTGGCCAGACAGGATGAACTCAAAACTTAGTTTTGCCATTTGCCAGCTCCGTGGCCTTGGGAACTCACTTTCCCTCTCTCAGTATCCACTTCCTTATCTCTAAAATGGAGATGAAAACACCTGACCCTGTAATTATATTACTGAAATATAATATATGGGTCTTAATTAGCATGGCATTTGATATACAAGCCCTACATTATAGCATTACCGGTGGAAGCAAAAGTCTCATGATTTGAAAATATGTACTAATGAACTGAACATTACAAAATCGATTCCCATGCAAATATCCCTATTTTCTGTTAGGATTAGTTGAGTCTGATTAGTTGAATCTTTGTTAGTCTTCTTTCACAGATACTGAAATCTGAAAATTCACAGCCAACATGATGCTTAAATGTCACCTTTTTCACTGAGGTCTAGTAGAGTAGCCAGCCTCCAATATGGCCCCAATGATCCCTGCCTCCTGATTTTCACATCCTGTGTCGTCCTCTCCCACATGGAATAACACTGACTGTGTAATCATTACGATTAGGAGGAAATGACAGACTGTGATTTCCAAGGCCAGGTCTTAGGCACTGGGGAACTCTTCCTTGATTCTCTGGCTTTGGAGAAGCCAGCTGAACCTCCATGCTGTGAAAATATCCAAGCAGCCCCACTGAGAGAGTTCCTATAAAGAACTAGAGCCTTCTCCGTCAAAAAGAGTGAAATCTTGTCATTTGCAACAACGTGGACGGAACTGGAGGGTAATATGCTAAGTGAAATTAGTCACTCAGAGAAAGACAAATATCACATGACTTCACTCATAAGAGGACTTTAAGAGACAAAACAGATGAACATAAGGGAAGGGAAACAAAAATAATATAAAAACAGGGAGGGGAACAAAACATAAGAGACTCATAAATATGGAGAACAAACAGAGGGTTAAGGGGAGGGGTTGTGGGAGGAGGGATGGGCTAAGTGGGTAAGGGACACTAAGGAATCTACTCCTGAACTCAGTGTTGCACTATATGCTAACTAATTTGGATATAAATTAAAAAGAAAAGTAAAAAAAAGAAAAAGAAAAAAAAAACCAACTAGAGCCTTCTATCAACAGCATCTGAATGAGGCATTTTGGAATGGAGCCATCAGCCCCAGTCAAGCTTTTGGATGTGATCACAGCCCTAAATGAAGTCTTAACTGCCACCTCATGAGAAACCAAGCCAGAAACACCCAGCTCTGCTGCTTTCAATTTCCTGACACACAGATACTGGCATATAGTAGACAGTTGCTTTCTAAGCCACAAAGTCTTGAGATAATTTGTTATGCAATAAAAGATAAGTAATATACCTTTCTGGACCATTCTTTTTAAAACCGCAACCCCCTCCCACTACCACACAGATTCCATACTTCCCATACCTTTCCCCTGCCCTTAATTTTCTTCCATAACACTTTATCCTCTCTCTCCCCAAACAAGAATGTAAGCCCCATGAGGGCAAGGATTTCTGGACCCCTTTATGCACTGCTATATCTAGCTTCAAAAAGAGGACATGGTACCCCATCAATAAATACTTTGTTTTTGGAAAGAATGACTGGATCTACTGCACATCTTGAAAAAGATGAAAAAAATCAGAAAAGCATGAAAAGTCATATTGTCCAAAATATTAGCCAATTGAGAGCTTGATGGAGTTAGACCACTTACAAACTTAGGGAAAGTAAATACAGTGGACAGAGAAGATAAGATGACAGCTGCTTCAGAAGAAATCATTTACCTAAGTCCAAGTGCAAGAGAGACTATTGAGAAAGTGAATAAAGCCCCAGAAAGCTTTAAAAATCTTTTTTAAATGTTCATACATTTTGAGAGAGAGAAAGAGAGGGAGGGGCAGAGAGAGAGGGAGATACAGAATCCAAAGCAGGCTCTCGGCTATAAGCTATCAGCGCAGAGCCCAAAGCGGGGCTCCAACTCACAAACCGTGAGATCATGACCTGAGCCGAAGTCAGATGTGTAACTGACTGAGCCACCTAGGTTCCCTAGTTCCAGAAAGCTTTTATAAAAATAACTCCTTTTCAGATTTTTCTGTGAAATTCAAACAAATTTAAGCAAAGAATGTACTACTCTGCTAGCACATAATTTAACTGGAAAACTTAGGTAGGAATATTTATCAGTTGCTTTATCTTATCATCTAAAAACCTGGGCATGATTGACATGAAAATATAATTTTATTGAACGTAAGAAAAAACAAACTTATCTTCATCCTACTTGATTAATTTCTCAAGAGAAAATCCCAATCATATCTTTCCCCCTTAGTATTTATTATACAATTTTGGTTTTATTTTAAGTACCACTTAGTTTTTTTTTCAGTTCTACTACTCCTGGAATAATGAATCCTTCTGAGTATTGGGCTTGACATAAAACAGGCACTCAATAAATCAGAGCTATTAAATATTTCGCCCTGAACAAAATATCAGAAAAAGGCCCTCTTACCTTTTATAAGTGGTGCACAATTAGTAAATCTCAGTAGGGAGAGAATCGAAATGCACAGGCCGTGTATTTAAGTGAATAAAAGGCATGTGGAAATTTAACTAGGGCAGCAGGTAGGTTTCATCCCGGGTGCCAATGTCAACCAATTTATCCCAGCTGCTCCAGAAACTATGCAGCGCACGATTCATGAGGTCATGCCTCAGCATCACGTTAGTGACGTTGATCTTGGTTGTGGGATGGAGAGCCGAGCTGTCTTAGGCATTAGACAGATTCTAACCTCTCTTTCACCGATGCAGGTGATATCTTGTCTTTTACCAGGCAGGCCAGAAGCAGCATGTATGTAGGAGAGGTGTAGAGGGTTTAGGGAAAGTTGGCCTTGGGGAGATGCCTGAGGGCTGAGGTGAGGCTCTGAACATTCTTGGTGGCTCAGTGGCACCAGGGTCCTTGTTTTCTTGGACATGGAAACCCCACAGAGTTCAGTCATTTGGACACTACACTGATGCAAGAACTACTCTTTCTAGGGTCACTGATCAAGTGCATTGAATTCTGTCCCTAATCTAGTACTTTACTTACCCACTCATATAAACCCTACCTTGGTCCTGAGGGAAGAACGGGATACCTTCAAATGAAATGGTTGGGAAGAATGTGGTGACAGGGAAAAAAGCTTTTAAAAACACAAACCCTCCAAAACCTTGGCTTCTTCTTGACCCCAAATCCTTTGATAATCCTCCCTACCTATACAACGCAGTTCAAACTCAGCATAACCTGCCTGGGTCTTTGCCAATCTTATCTTAACCTATCTTTCCAGCCACACTATTCACTGCCAACAATAAACCTCAATTTCCATTCATATCCCTAAGTCAGCCATACGTTTTTCTACACTGAGGTAGGAAAATGAAGTGGATTAAGGGTGTAGGGTCTGAAGTCAGACCAGTAACGATTCCAACTCTTTCCACCTTCTGAGAAGTTTATGTGACCTTGGGTAAGTTACATAACCTCTCTAAGCCTCAACTTCTTCCTCTGTTTAATGGGTTTCTTACTGGATTGTTACAAACATTAAACAAGATAGTGTACACTGGCTGCAGCTGCTGTCCGATCAGGATGCCTTCATATGCGCTGTCTTCTTACCATATCTTTACGGATGCCTAATTTAGGGATGGGAAAAGCATGACATAAATATTATTAAAATACCTTCCCAAGGGAAGGTGATTTCTAATCATGGGAAGTCTGTCTCCAGAGCCTGTGAACCACTAAAATTTTCTAACGACGAGGTCAATGAACGTCTGTTAAATGAGTGAATGAATTCATGCATGCTTTCTCTAACATACAAGTTGAAATCAAATATGGGGAGCCACAGATTTGAAAAAATTTAAGTCATTGTTTTTGCCAGTCAAATGACCATGGAACAATGCACTTTTATAACCCCAGGAAAGGTCCTGGCCCATAGTAGGTGCTCAATCAGTGACGTTGAAAAGAAGGAGTGATGGATCGGACCTGACATTTATGGCAAGGAGAACAGAGTGCTTCCAGGCAAATGACCGTTTCCCTGTCAGTGTAAACCTCTGACAGCCTTGTCTCCCCTGCAGCTCCTGCAACGTGACATCCACCGGCCATGCAAGACGCAGGAGTTGCAATGGGTCACTGATTGGAGGCGAGGTTGTTTCCGTGGTCCCCCAGACATCCCGAGGCTGCCTCCTAATGTGGGTCATTTACACGGTGATGGCAGGACGTGCTGCCAGCAAAATCACCCAGTCCTTTCAAGGGAAGTCGCCTGCTGGCTACCCAGCTGATGTTTCACCAGAACGGGGGAAATGAGATGTCACAAGGCCTGTTCTGTAAATTAAGCGATAATCCAGTTTTGGTCGTACTCAAAGAGCAACCGTCTACCGCAGGTCCATTCTGGGGCTCCTCCCCAAAGTCTCCTGCCTTCCTCTCCAGCTCGTGCCAACTCGGGCCATGTTCCCCTTCCCTGCGTGCTCCTTCTCCCGGTAGATGGTGAGGAGGGAAAGAGATAGGAGTCGTCAGGTGAACTGAACTTCGTGCTTTATCTCCAACTGAATTGATTCCTGTCTTCCCGTTGCCATAATTAATCAAGAGCTAAGTGAACTGGAGACAACACGTATCGTGGCAATGGCCCCTTTTTCTCCTAAAGAAACTCGAACATGGTGGCACTGGGTGCAGCTTGGCTCCAACCCAACCGGAGGGAGCAGGCTGTGTGAAAGGATGACCTTTGACAGGGAGACTTTCTGCTTCGGTACCTTGTGAAACAAATAGCTTCCTGCAAACAACAGTCTCCGGCCCAACCTTCCACTAATGCGATTAGGGGAGCTAATTTCCTGGGTTGGTTTCCCCCCCATTTCACCCATCAGAGCTAGGTTGCTACAAAGGCCCTCTCCCCTGGAAACGGCTCCCTCACCAACGCATGCGGAAAGAGCGTGGCTTGACTGGCCTTTAAAAAAATGTGAGGGAGAAGGATGAAGATACCTCAGCAATGAAAACAGCTGTGGGTTTTAAAACCTTCTTGGAGCATTTGCTCTACCTTCCTTCGGGCCGAGCGTAAATTTGTACACACCTCAGATTGGACGACATCATGTTCTTCCTCACTTGTTAAGAAGCCACTGCAATGTTCAAAGGCCCTGAGGTCTTGACTTTCACACTCAGTGAACTGTGACTGGCCATCTACGCCTGCATACTTCTCATTTGCTTCCAGAAAGTTCTTTGGTCAACAGGTGACTTTACCACAATATTCCACTAAAGAGCCACGAATGCCTCAGCCTGCATGTCCCAGATGACAAATCTTCGTGAATTTTGCTTTCATTCTTTACAAGGAGATTAAGAAACCTCCAATGAGGAATACAAGGTTATCAGGAAGGCCTCCCCAGTTCAGGTGCCTGGCCTGGTTCATGAAGTTCAATTGAACTAAGGCTACTACTTGGAAGATCTTTCCAAGAAGGGAAAGAAGAGAGAAGAAGAATTCTCCTTTTCAAGGAAAAGAAAGAAGCAGGTCAACATGGCTTTTGGCTTTCAGGAAATGAATTAATAAAGGAGGTTGCACGCGATGCTGCAGGATTTAATTAGGAAGTACCAGGGCCATAGCAGCCACATGTTCAAGTTTATAACGCAGGGCACGAAAAACAAAAACAAAAACAAAAACAAAAACAAAAACAAAAACAAAAACAAAAACGCTTGACCTATTTTGCTCGGTGCTGAAATGAGAAATGTGGATTCCCCCCAAAGGTAAATTGAAAAGCATCCCCAAGAACTTTGTTAATTGTTTTATAAAGTCACCATTCATTTGGATATCTAGGGTGGGAAAAAGTTGACGCGGTTACTGAGTGAATGATTCCAAGTGACACTCCGTGGTCTTTAAAAGAAGGGATGATTCTGTATATTTACATGATAATCTCAACCCCCCGTTAAGCACATAGGAAACACCCAGTAAAGACAGCATGATTTGGGGCGCCTGGGTGGCTCAGTCGGTTGGGGGGCCAACTTCGGCTCAGGTCATGATCTCACAGCTTGTGAGTTCGAGCCCCGTGTCAGGTCTGTGCTGACAGCTCCAAGCCTGGAGCCTGCTTCAGGTTCTGTGTCTCCTTCTCTCTCTGCCCCTCCCCCGCTCACGTTCTGTCTCTGTCTCTCTCAAAAATAAATAAGCATTTAAAAAAAATTTTTTAAAAAGCATGAGCATTGACCATCTAACAACTGAACAATCATTTACTTAGCATGTATATGTATCGTCTTTACATCAAGGACTAAAGATATAAAGACACAGCCTCTGACCTTAAGACCCTACTGGTCATATGGATAAATAACAAACAAATTGTCTCATCTCAGCTCATGGCAATTCTGTCTTCTCAGCTGCTCAGGTAGAAATCCTGGCATCACCCTGACTTCTTTTTCTCTCTCATATACCATATTCAATCTACCAACAAATCATGATGATTCTGCCTTCAGAAAATATCCAGATTTCAACCAGGTACTGTCACCTCCAGTGCTCCTAATGGGGACCAAACCACTAGCATCTCTCTCTTGGACTACTGCAATAATTCTCAACCAGTCTTCTTTGCATTTACTCTGTGCCCTTCTTCCAGCCTAAGTGCTCCTCTGAAAACACAAATGTGATTATATCAAGTTATTCCTCAGCTCCCAACCTTCACTAGCTCCCCATGTCTCCCAGAGTATCAGCAAGTCCTTTCAATGGTTATATGGCCCTATATTATCTAGTCCTGGTACATGGTTAGCCTCATCTAGAACTCTCCTCTGTGCTGCAGCTACAGCCCCACAGGCCTCCCTCTATTCTCGGAGCAATCTAGACATGCTCCCATTTCAAGGATTTTGCACTGGCTGTTCCCTCTGCCTGGAATGCTCTTCCCCCAATCAACCTGTTTTCTCCTGCTACAATGCAAACATTTCAGCTCCATTGTTCCCAACTCATCCTCAGTATCCCAATTTCCCTTCTGTTGTTCTATTTTCTAATAGCACTTCCCACCTTCTAACAGTATACAGTTTGCTTATCTGTTAAGTTATTGCTTATTGTCTCTCTTCTCTCACTAAAAAGCTCCAAGGAGACAGTGATTTTTACTTACTTATTCTTTTATTTTGGCTTATTGTACCCAGAAGAGTGCCTGGCACATATTAAATAAGGGAATGAATGAATGAATGAATGAATGAATATACACTGCAGAAAATACTATGATGAAGTTGTGTATGCATATCATACTGGATTAGCATGCGTGGCCAAAGGATCATTGTCTACTTAAGAAGGATTTCATGTAGATATTCCAAAATACAGATAGGGATTCTAATTTGATTCAACAAATACTCACTGACTAGCTCATGATGCCCAAATGTGTGGAGAAAGCCTCTACAGAGGCTGAATTCAGATAGATTAAATAGAGTTTCTGCCTGGACATTGTAAGAGAACAAGTCCATTCATTTTTTGTAAAACGTGACTGCCCAGCCAGACTGCTGTGATTTCTTCTAGATCAGAGGGCAAGCCACGCTGCCTTCCGTGGCTTGGAGGAGTCTGGTTGTGCAAGGTGACCAGCTGAATCCCTTCAGTCATGACCTCACTCCCCTTGTCCTTCTCTTAATTAAAAGTGGTTGGGAGAATTTCATAATCACAGCGGTTTACAGAAGGACAAGTTGACGTGGGATTGGGCTGAGCAAACTGTTGAAATGAACACAGGGTTGTTGGCGCGTTGTGGTTTAAACAGAAGGCACAGACATGAATTAGTCATGTGCCTGGACATGAGAGAAGGATGAAGAATCTATAAAGGAACAAGGCGGGCCATTCTAGTCATGACATGAGAAAAATGTACCACTCTAGAACCTTTTGGAATAACAGGGCGTAACGAAATGTCAAATAGGTCCACACCAGTGGTCTATAACTGGTTAGAGCTGACACCACAAAAATTAGGGGAAGTGGTACCTTTAAATTTTTACGCTGAACTTACAAGGTAAGCGCTTTCAAAATCTGATGTAGGGCCTTCCTATTTACTGCGATCCAGAATAAAGCCCTGATATTGACTAGGGTAACTACACGACTCTTCATCCCATACTTCGAGGGTATACACATGAGGGAGAAACAAAATAAGGAATTTCAAGATCAACTTCTTGTATGAAAACACACAACATCTGAAAGCTCTCTGGGCGCTGAAGGCGGAAGGAGGGAGCACCTGCCAACGGCTCCAGAGAACCAGAATTCCCGCCCATGGCAGGGGACAGGCCATCTTACCCAAGTAGTTATCATCCTCTGATTTCCCTGAGAAACTGTGCTGCCGCACGTCGATATTGGTAGCACCGGCTGGAATTCGGACCACAGTATTGTAACCTGCAAAGAATTTAGCCAAAACTCAGTATTCCACAGCACAAGTCACTTTCTCTAGGTATGGAATAAAAGGTGGGCCACCCAGGGGTGTAATACAATTCTCACTCTTGAGTGTCTTCTAGCCGGACAGCTAAAGTACCCTAACAAGACTGACTTTACGCCTGACATGAATACTTTTACATACTACATGCGGTTAACAATTTTTAAACTGTGACTATTTTCCCTCTCACGGTTCTTAGGGACAGGTTCTTACCATAATGCACTGTGTTAAATGTTCCTGCCACTGTTTTGCACGAAGAATTATCACCACCACAAACTCCACATTTATCTCTCCGGGCTTTTGAGTTTAAAACGTGGTCGCATCCAGCTTGCTTTTAAGAAGAAACGTTTGAAATTAATGGTAAGTATTATAAAATTATACAAATCATAAAACATTATGAAACGGCAGGGGGCATGTTTGTTCGAATGACGCATTCCAAAAATGACAAGAACGTCCCTTTAAAGTTGCAACGGCTGAGAACTCAAATTGTCTTTAGCCCTGGTGTGGAAAATGTGGTCCTTGGACCGGCAGCCATGGGCATCTCTGACGCTGTTAGTAATATATTACCTTGGGCTCCACCCAGATCCACTGGGTGGAATTCTGACATGCTGGAAGACACTTAGGTGCTTCATCTACAGATTAAAGTTTGAGAAGTACAGGGGCACCTGGCTGGCTCAGTCGGTAGAGTACTTGACCCTTGACCTAAGGGTTGCAGGTACGAGCTCCACACTGGGTGGAGAGGTTAGTTAAAAATAAAACATTAAAAAAATAAATAAAGTTTGAGAAGTCTGTCTACAAATAAGTGGAATAAATGAGAAAAACCGCTCAAGAATGAAGACATAGGAATGCTGACGGGGGTGACTGTATCCAATTAAAGATCTGCTATCTCAGGGCGCCTGGGTGGCTCAGTCAGTTAAAGCAAGTGACTTCGGCTCCGGTCATGATCTCATGGTTCGGGAGTTCGAGCCCCACGTGAGGCTTTGTGCTGACAGCTCAGACCCTGGAGCCTGCTTCAGACTCTGTGTCTCCCTCTCTCTCTGCCCCTCCTCTGCTCAGGTCTCTCTCTTTTTCAAAACTAAACATTTAAAAAAAAAAAATGCCTCTGAGGAGAAGCTCAGTGTTTTACTACAAACGGACTGACAAGCAAACATGGACTGTGCAGTTCTGAGTTGGGAAATGGGTGAAGCTCTCAGGGTCATTGCATCAGACCTGACTGACTAGAATTCCCATTTTCCTGGACCACACGCAAGGAACAAATAAATTATCTCAAAGCCTGGTGACGCTAAGAATGTTTTCTGACTGGTAAGAACAGTGAAATGGTATCAAGCCCTCTAGGAATCACTGCACTCATGCTTCACGATCTTCCAGAAGTTTCTCCGTGTCCCATCCAAGAGTAACAAACAGGTAGGTCTCAGGTAGAAGCAATGGTGTTTGAAATCAGAATGAGAAATCTGACGGAGGCCTGGCTGAAGCCTGATTCCTTACGAAGTCTTTCTGGAACAGAGCTATTCAGTCTAGAAAACTCGCTGTGTGGGAAGCATTTGGTTTAACCTTAACCAAATGGTTAAGGGTTAGCCCTGAGGTTACAGTAAAGGAAGGTGTGTGTGTACAAATTATTGTAATAAATTTTCACGGGGAGGTTTCGCGCAGATCCTCACAGAGGTTGAGAGTGGCGGAAAAATGCAGGACGCCGGTTCTCGAACTTCGGCATCACAATCAAGCAATGCCAATGCTGATGCTGCCCTGGGAAACACGCTCGGAAAACCACTTCCCTGGAGACAGCGCACAGACATTCGCCGCTGGTCTCTCGAGGAAGCCACAAATCACGGCTTAGCAGCAAGACAACACAGTGAAGGAAACGCGATGTGGGACTCACCCGGCAGAGGCCTTGGACACAGATATCGCTGGTGTCTTGGCCACAGGGCGTCCCATCTATCACTCTGTCTCGAAGCTGGTAGTAGGCCGTGTTACCTGCCACCCTGCAGAACAACTTGCAACGGTCCTTCATCAAAACTAGAGAGGAAACACATGACGCAATGTGAGTTTCGGACCTGGACCCCCGGCCGGCCTGCCGACCAACCACGGCACCCCCCCCCCCCCCCGGTTGCACTTACTTCCACTGTACTTAGGGACCCAACGCACAGTGGGAAGCAGACCGTTGATGTTGAAATGCTTCCCGTCAAACTGAGCACACTGTTCATCTCGGAAGTCTCGCTTCTGCTTGAGACATGGCTCTGTGTTGCAGGACTTAAACTTCATCCTACGTCCTACACAGTACTTCCCACCATTTTTGGGCCTGGGGAAAGGGGAAGAACACACGCGCTGGATTGCCAGGGATTTCTCCCCACATCGCTCTCTCATCCGTGGCTTCCTGTCTCCCAGGGAAGCGTGTCGAAAAGGGGCTGATGACAGAGGAAAGGACTGAGGCTCTGAAATCTGCATGTGCATTCTGCTTTCATTACCATGAAGTGTATGACCTTGGGCAAGTCACTTAGCTTAGCTTCTGAGTCCAGACGCCTCAGCCCCTCCATCTATAAAAACGGGAAGGGGTTATTGAGTGAGGCAGTGCTGAAGATGAAACGTTAGAGCACGTAACTTCAAGTTTGAAATACAAAGCCTGGGATCTGTTGGGCAATAATCTGTCCTCTCTCTCCTGAAAATGCAGTCCTTTGGTTTTCAAAATGTGGAAGGTAAAAGGCCCAGAGGAGTCATTGGAATGCTCCCTGTCTACTTTTTGTAACATGACAGTCTCACAGGAGACCAGCCTAAAACCTGTGCTATTCTACTTACATTCATTCTCTCCCTCCCTCCCTCCCTCCTTCTCTCCACCCTCACAACCATTGTTTTTCTTTGTTTTGTCTTACAAGTGAGACGGAGTAAAAGGAACATCCCCATATTGTGACTAACTTAATAGGAAGAGCAGGAAGAGCGGACTGGTTTCATTAACTTTTGTGTGACGAGAGCACGGAGGGTGCCTTGCACAGCACCAGAGTGTAAATTTCATCTCGACATGCAAGCCCGAATTAGATGAAATTCAAATGTACATGTATTTTCCAGATGTGACCCAATGACTAAATTATACAACGTTTCTCCTAGCAGTCCACAGCTTGCCAAGTTCATCATGGAAACGGGAAGATCAGAGAATCGTAGGAAGTTGGGCTCGCCCACCCAGGGCTGGAGCAGGTCGGATTTCGCAGCTACTCTACAGACATCTCTGAAACGGAAAGGAAGTTGTCCACTTTTCTTCTTTAAAATGAATCTTTCAGGGCAATTTGGAGCATACAAAGGGGTTTTTGTTTTGTTTTGTTAAGCTGCGACCTGGGTGAATGGGAAAGACATCCGTGCCCATTTATACAACAAGAGCCGGTCCAACAGAACAGGTAAGGCTCTGGAGCTAGAGCTGGGTTCCAGTCCCGACCCTACCCTCGGGGCATGACTTTAGATGAAGTTCTGAAGTTCTCAGCCCCGGAGTATCAGTTGCCCCCTTGTCTAAAATGAGCACAAATAGTAGATGCTGAAAATGTTAGCTACTGTGCTAATATGTCAGCACCCCCAACCTAATCTGATCTAACCGTGCACTTTGAGTACTGAATCTGCGCTAAGACACGGTGTGCAGCGTGAAAGGCAGGACTCAGTGCTCCTGCAGAGCACCAAGCGTCAGGAAGGGCACCCGCCATGATACTGTTGCAACGCGCTCCCTGTATCAAACATGCGGAGACTAAGGGAGGAGCATGGGCTTTGCAGCCACACACTGGACACCTTTGTGGGCACTACCTGGCCTCTCTGAGCTCCATCCTGCATATAGAACAGAGATGATATTGTACACCTGCCATGGAAAGTTCAGAATCTGGGAAGCTTAGTAAGGAGGTGGATAAATATTCAGTTATTTATCACAAAGAAAACTGTATCTAAGGATACAACATGGCACCTAACCCAACAATAACTGCATCTCATTGTTTCTCCGTGAAACACAATTAAGCCCATATGCTTTCTAGCTCCATTGTGCACTTGACTCCCTAAAATACACTCCTATCTTGCCCAAGGGTAAGGCAGAGGCAGTATTTTTATATCGAGCAACAGGAAGTTCAGAGAAGTCAAGTACTTTGTCATGATCACACAGATAAAAAAAGAGAAGAGATAGGACTAGAATTCTAAATTCCCTGGGTTCTTCTCTGTGCTCTTTCTGCTACATTATCCAGGAACGATGGTCAAGACTTTTTTTTTTTCCTTCCTTTTTTGGTGCCATTCAGAGATAGAGCCTTGGCTTCCTGAATTCCCAGCTCTTCTCTAAGTACCAAGACGCCCTAGTCCCATGCACACAATATCACAGATGATACATGAGTAACAGATCAGGCCCATATACCTGTTCAGGGGAAACGCATTTTAAATGTGCTACATGTAAGACCTCTTGCAATTTTTCCTCAGATTGAAACGATCTTTGCGGAATCTTCTTAAAAGGCCCACTAACTATGCAGGATTAATCGTTTATTTATCGCCTGACAGTAGCTCATTTTTCTTTTTGAAATTAAATATTCAAAAGTTGGTTCTTTTCTTTTGGCTCTCTTATACAACAAGTCTTAATGCACCCCAGAAACGGCCCACATGTAGCAGTTTTTTGGGCTGTGAATAATAAATACTTACAGGTAGTTTCCCATCAGAGGAAAGGGACGTTTGCTTTTGACCACTATCGAGTGGCAAACAGACTTACTTTTATAAATGACCTTTTGAAAAAACAACACACAGAAAACACTCCATGGGAGAGGCAGTGTTGCTGAGGGTCATAGGTGGGGACTGTGAAAACAGAGGGTTTGAATCCCAGGCCTGCCTCTTAATAATGGTGCAGTCTTGGGCAAGTTGCTTAATCTTTTGAAGGATCAGTTTCCCTATCTGTAAAGGGGAGATGATCCTAGTATCTACTTCATCAGGGTACGCGAGGGTCAGCTGGGTTAATACATTCAAAGCACTTGAACAAGGCCTGCCACACTGTAAATGTTTAGCTATTACAAGAGCCTGCCAACCACAGCCTGTGGACCAAATCCTGTCCACTTCCTGTCCTTCCCTGGCTGTGAGATAAGAATGGCTTTTCTATTTTAAAAAATTAAGGAAAAGGGTGCTTAGGTGGCTCAGTCGGTTAAGGTTCTGACTTCGGCTCAGGTCGTGATCTCACCGTTTGTGGGTTTGAGCCCCACACCAGGCTCTGTGCTCACAGCTCAGAGCCTGGAGCCTGTTTTGGATTCTGGGTCTTCCTGTCCCTGCCCCTCCCCTGCTCTCTCTCTCTCTCTCTCTCAAAAATAAACATGAAAAAATTTGATTAAATGAATAAAAAATAAAAATTTAAGAAAATATAAAACATATTTTGAGACACATAAGAGTTAGATGAAATTCAAAGAGTAATATCCATAAATAAGGTTTAATTGGCGTGTAGCCACACTCAACCCTTCACATGTCACGGATGTCTGTCTCTCACTGTATCAGCAAGGTTGAATAGCTGGGTCACAGACGCTCTGATCCTCAAGTCTGAAACACTTACTGAGTGTTTTGTGGCAAACACGTTCCTTTACGGTAAAGGTCTGCCCACCCGTGAGCCACTCTTGCGTGCAAGGCACCATGCCACTTTCTGTGACCGTGTCCAGCCGTGCTGTGAGGCAGGTAGTGGCAGCCTTGCTCCTGAAGGCTTGTTTGAAATTGTTTCAGAAGTGTTAGGTAACCTGGCAAGGTGACATGTCCATCAGGTGAGACCTGCTGGTCGACGGACCAACGCAGGTCTCCCGGATTCAAAGCTCATGATCTGGTGTCTTTCCTCGGCTTCCTCTCTTGAGACAGGCCTCTTTCCATATCAAGACTCATTCTGTGACTCTGCTATTTTTTATGTAAAGACAGATTATATTTTATCAACAAACTTAAATTTGCCCTCTCAGAACATGTGCCTTTTCTCTTATCCCAGAGTACCTCTGCCTGATTTGCAATGACTATAACGGGGAAGGCGGTAGCCAACCTAACTTACCTTTCAGCATGGAAAAAATTCATGCTGTAATTTAATAATTTCGCTGGATGGGAGTATTTTTTTTTTCTATGTAGACAAATAATAAAAATTAGAGGAAATGCAGCTTTAAGAAATAGTATTAACCACGGGGCGCCTGGGTGGCTCGGTCGGTTGAGCCTCCGACTTCAGCTCAGGTCATGAGCTCACGGTTTGTGGGTTCGAGCCCCACGTTGGGCTCTGTGCTGACAGCTCAGAGCCTGGAGCCTGCTTCAGATTCTGTGTCTCCCCTTCTCTCTCTGCCCCTCCCCCAATCATGCTCTGTCTCTCTCTGTCTCTCAAAAATAAATAAAAATGTTAAAAAAATTAATTAATTAAAAAAAAATAATATTAACCACATTTTCCTGCTATTAAGATCCTTTAAAACATTGCAGGTCAAATACAGATGGAAAGGACTTAATGAAACTGCTAGGTTAATTACTATGAAAGTAACTATATTCAGCACAGCTGAGCTGAATCTTTCTTTCAGGCACATAGTACACAACCATGCCTATTCATATACAAAGAAAATTCATGATACTGCACGGCCAAAGCTATGAAGGAATTTTTGCAAAGATCACCACACGTGTGTTCCCCCCTCCAGGGAAGCTAAATTTTGGTTGTCAAATGGGTTTGAACAGAAATCTCGGCTTCTGTGAACACTTAAAATGAATTGCAGCAGGCAGATTAGGGTTAGCACAGGGAAGGAATTTCTAACGATTCGACAGGCAGCCCCAGAAGGTAGTGTGTTTCCTATGCTGGGAGGGTTTTGGGAAGAGGTCTAATGGACAACTGCAGTGGATGCTGAAAGGCTATTCAGGGATTAGATGGGATGGGCCAGAGAGCTATACTTGCAATCATTAATGATCCTTCCGAATAGAACAGTCTAAAGGCCTGGATATCTTTATTCATTCATTAGTTAATAGCTTTCCCACAGCAACTAATTCTTGAATTTTGAAATACGCTCACCCAACTCAGTGCCTGAAGAAAAAAAAAAAAAAAACGTTGCTGCAACTCTTTCCAGCCAAATGAGCGATTCATTTCCTTAGATGAAATAGACATCTATTACCTTGCTCGTATGCCAGATTTCATAAGCAGTTACTATGGTGAAAGCCTAAATGGGAAAATATCTAGTTCACAATCTTTTCCTCACACGTATGAGTTTCTTAGTTTTTAATTTAACTTACCTCCTAACTTAAAAGCAAAACAGAAGCACCAGAAGAGGGAAGGGAAGCACCAGTTCTTTCCCAAAGAACTGGGACAATTTTTTTTTTTTTTTGATGGACTGTAAAAACTGTATACATTTTTTTTTCTAGCTACTAGGAAGCTCAGAGTCAATTCAGAGCACGAAATAACAAGTGTAGGGCCCAACGGCCTGATAAATGCGACTTCTAGTTCCAACGGTGGCTTTGTTTTGGTACCCTAAGTTATGCTTTTGGCAGTTATGATTTTAGGTTTCACTGTATTACATGTTTCTTACAGCTATGATTGGGCGATCATGTAGTTAATTGTTCAATTCAGGACACTCAGAGAATGTAAAGGGTAGCTATGAATAACTTCTCCTGGACGACAGACATAAACTGGGACTGTGTTTACAAATCAGAACATAAGCTCTTATCTACAGGGCATGGGTCAAAGATGGGATTAAAAAATAAATAAAACATTTAAAGACAAAATATTAGGGCCCTATTCTCATGATGGCAAATCAGCAGGACCAAACACCTTTTGACCAAAATGAGAAAGCATCTGGTTTCTACAGCTTGTTCACGAGTATGCCATTATCCCATGTATAGGACAAGGCTATTTCTCTTTTGTAACTTTTACGCTTTCAAGGGAAACAACCCTAAAAATACAGCGCAAAGTATGGATGTTAAATACATTCTTGAATTGCATGAATACTGTGAAAAAAAATAAATAAAAACAACTCAGGGTCTTAATAGAGACATACCTTGGACTAAAAATGGGGCTCTACATTATATTCAAAGGGCTCCTCAACCCGGGAAGAGGCAGGTTGCCAGCTCCAGGGGCACCACTTCCCTCAAACGCCTTGAGAGTCAGAAGCAACTACTACTGATTCCTGCATAATGAACCATCTGCTCTGTGAGTTTCTCTGCACGAGCTTTCAAACTGAGATTTGGATCTGATTTTCCCTGTTCTGTGTCCCTTTCTCCTGTCAAACTGACTTCCTCAAAGTTTTCGGAGGCAGACTCCTTCCTCAATTCACAGGGACATCCCAAAGTGCAAATAACTTGGAAGCGCTTTCATGAAATGGTGTCAGGGCTGACAGTCAACTGGGGGGATTGTATTCTTTTAAAACCTCCCATAGCAAACAGCAAGGACAAGGACCTCTAATTGAAGTCTTTAATGATCAGCCCCTAACTTGTGAATGCACGGATCTTTGCTTCACTTGGAGGCTCGAGACCCTTTCCTGCTGAGATCTTTACGCTGGGTGATTTTCTTTGTCTGGCTCGTTCCAATTATGAAGTGATTTATCTCTCTCCACTTTCTACATTACCTCTAGAATTGCTCGAAGACTTTAAAAAAAAAAAAAAAAAGACCAAACACTTCTTTTCAACGACGTATTCTTGAGTCACCATTTCAAAAATGCCTACTGTTGGCAACAGTCATATCCTCACGACAATAACAGCTCACTAAGATGGTAATAATGTGGCTCCACGTAGCTACTGCATAGTTCTTAATTTTTTTTAAAAAATGTGTCATATTTGCTATTAGCTTCAAATGCTTTATTCTAAAGCTTCAATAATACCAACAGCTAAGATTTGTAATTGACTTGAAAGAAGCAAGTAGTGGAACACTATATATAATATGATCCTTATTTTATATCTACAGAATACTTATTTCATATAATACATATTACATGACAAATCTTTTTTAAAAGTCCAAAGTGATGCACGTCAAATCATTTTTCCCCGGTGATTTCTTGCGGGGAGTAGGTGGGAGGGAGGAATGATGATGACAGATTTTTTTTATTTCATATCGTTCTGTGTCTGAATTTTTTGAAAGCATGTACTAGGTTTAAGCTATTACTTAAATAACTAACAGAAACTATAGACTCTATTGATCATCTACTGTTTACTCTTTATACCCATAGCTACACACTATAGTCTGTGTCCTAGAGCTCTTTAGTTGTCTTTACAGAGGCTAATATCACATGGACATGAAATAAAGGTTGGACTGTGGACAAAAATAAAGGGAAACAAATGGATTGTCATTTGTGATTTGCACGAATGAGTATTTATTAGGCCACGGCTGGCAACAGTGGCCTAAAGGTACGTTCTTTACTGGTGAACACAATTCAGATTTTCCTTTTTTAAAAAAATTTTTTTTAATGTTTATTTATTTTGAGGGAGAGAGAGAGAGAGACAGAGCATGAGCAGGGAAGGGGCAGAGAGGGACAGAAGGAGACACAGAATCGGAAGCAGGCTCCAGGCTCCGAGCCGTCAGCACAGAGCCCGACGCGGGGCTCGAACTCACAGACTGCGAGATCATGACCTGAGCCGAAGCTGGATGCTCAACCGACTGAGCCACCCAGGCGCCCCGATTCAGAATTTTCTTATGAGAAAACTGGAAGCTTTGCCAACACGAGGCCCCTTTCCTACCTGTGAACAACCAGCTAAGTCTGAGGAGCACCTGTACGTGGTTTCTACCACCTTCTTATACAACCCTATCATACCATCCCAGTATATACATACATTAATATACTCATCGTGCTACGCTACCCTAATATACGGCACCCACGTCACTGTTGTACCTGTGTGCTTCTGTCTACAATTCAGTTGGCTACCCCAACACAGTCTGTGAAAAAGAAATGAATACTACCGGATGAAATCACTTTACCTAATCCCAAAACAGCTGGTTCTTAAATATGGTTATCGGTGCATACATCTAAAAACTGTTACTAGTCTACGAAGACTTCTTGGCCCCCTAGCCTATACAGGTTTGATGGCAATAACGTGATGTATTAGCTCCTAGTCCTTCAGATTCGATACATCTTGGAGTCACACAAAATTTGATGTCATTCCTTATCATCAAAATCTGATTTTTTAAAATCTACTTATAAATACGCACGCCTCCTGGGCTAGATGCCGGGGGAAAAAAAAAATCAACTTCATTTGAACATGTGCTACAAGGCTAGGCTGGTCACATAAGGAGAATTATCCTGAAAGGCAGGATACTCCCAGGCTGTATACTGTCTAGTTGTAGGATGGGCTTTAGGTGTCTTCCCCGTAAAACAACTAACTTGATTCTAAAAGTAATTCCTGACTTGAGGTTCTCAGTCCCTTAGAGTCTGCTATCACGATGGGGCTCCTTGTGCCCTGTCCAACATCTCAGTAGCTAACAGGAAAGGGTACAAGTTACCTACAATCTAGATGGAAATGTCCAGTTTCTTCATTTCCTCAGGAAAACCTGTTTCCCTTCATTGGCCACCTATACCAAGCTCTGGAGGCAGGGAGATATGCCTGACTGTCAAACTGTGAAAGAGACCAACCAACACAAAAAGCATCTACTGGGGTAGACCGAAGTCTTAATGGAGGATGGTGGGAGAAACTAATGCTACAGAAGACAATGCCCGGGAATAAACTGATTGGATACCACCAGTCTAAGCAGCCCTAGAAAGGCACTTACTCTCTACCAGGGAAAGAGTTTTCCATCTGCTTCCAGCCGAACGATTCCCTTCCGGAGGGCTCCCGTCGGGCCATCCCAATAATGACAGCAAGGAGTTCTAGGACTTACTCTGGTCTGTTGCACTCACGAATGGCAGTTTTGATGCCCCCTCCACACGTTCTTGAGCAGGTTCCAAAGTGACTCCAACTTCCCCAGGATCCATCAGTCACAGGGACTTCCATTTCTTTGGGAACACAAAATCCAAACTTGCAGTGCTGTGTTTAATAAGGGGAACAGTGAGGGAGAGCTCGGTGCTGGAGACGTGATAGGACCCACTGTCCTTTTGATTATATGGCATACTTCATCCCCCCCACCCCACCTCTCCCGCCACACGCTAGTTTGAAATGCTGCCATTTCATCATCTACATGAATAATGAAAACTGTAGGGATTTTAATCTCATCCCTATTGATTTTAGGCCATGTCTTCATTTACCACTTGCTTGAATAAAACTAACCAATGAGTGGTTGGTTCCAGGCTCTCAGGGTAACTCCAGTGGCCAGGCTCAAAGCGCTCAATTAGTCTATTTGGAAAAGTGAGGAGAGGAAGCGGGCAGACTGGCTGCAGACGGGGCCAAAGTGAGTTACTGGATTTGCAGAGCAAATGTCCATTAAGAAGGCTCAAAGATGCTGTGAGCCTGGTAAAATATGTTTTATTGCTCCCCGCAGATTCGAAAAGCCAATTTTAATTAAGTGGCAGAGAAAAGAAAAAAGCACGTTAGAGGATTCCTATAAACTCCCTCCACCAAAGCACACAGGATGAGACTAGAGCAAAATGGACATATTCCAGAGAGCCCTAAACTTTATTGCTTTTTTTGTTACTAATGGTTTCAGATTCTCCGGCCTGCAGCAGGAAGAAGGCCATGATGCTTAAAACAAAACCAAACAGAATAAAACTCCTCAGCAGGACAAGGGATTCGAGAAGCCCATTTCAACCCTCTGCCATTGTTGGGGTGTGAGGCCCTGACACAAAGCGAGGTCACGGAGCAGCGGACAAAGCGCTGGCTGCAGTGGCGGCAGGAGGGTGATGCCCCGCAGCTTGCTCAGATCTCTGAAGTGAAGCTGGTGGTGGCTGGCTGCCGTGATTTATCTGCAGGGAGGGCAGAGGCAGAGGCAGAAGCCCACCGAGGCCGGGGCCGGGGGTGGGGTGGAGGGGGGAGCGTGCTGGGAAAATGGACGACAAATAAGATGCAGGGGAAGGTCCCAGACTGAACGGGGCGGCCACACAGAAGGCTCAGCCAACAATGACTCAAAGGGTGCACTTAGGCTCTCTCTACTTTGCAGCGCCTTCTCCCTCGTAATTATTCTCTTAGAGCATCTGAGGATGGCTCCCTTTCCCTGGGCTGTGAGGCAGAGGCTTAAAACATTGTGCAGAGAACTCTGGGCAACCCTGGACCCGAGAAAGGCGGGTGGAGAAAGAGGGGCAATGGCACTTCCCGAAATCATTTTGGATTTGTCTCCACAACGGTCGTGAACGTTTATTGCAACGTACACACATACGAATAAAGGAGGGAGGTAGTAGCTTGGTCTAGAGCACCACCATCCAATGAGAATGTACCAGAAGCCACACACTTAAGAAAAGGTTTTTAATATCTAGAAGCCACCTTAAAGCAAGTAAAAAGAAAACTGAATTTTAATATGTTTTTACTTAGCTCCAAGTATCTGAATAGTATTACTTCTGTGTGCGATCAATGCACAATTTGGTTTTTTGCACTCTTTTTCTCATACTCGGTCTTCAACACCTGCTGTATGTCTTCTCTTAAGCACATCTCAGGTTAGGACTGACATGTGAAGGGCTCATTACCATGTGCGGCTACTGACTGCCATGCCGGACGGTGCAGGTCTTAGAAAGACAAAGCTTGGAAGGCCAATGGTCTCGTGATGAGCGGGGGCTCTGCCACAAACTCACTCTGAGACCCTAGGTGAGTCCCTGACTCTGTTTCCACAGCTGAAAACGGACACCAACCTGCAAAGTTGTCGTGAGTATAACACTAGAGACAGTGTATCTAAAGCACCCAGTACACAGCTATGTAAGTCAGGGGACCTGACTAAATAAAGTTAGTAAGATAATGACAAACATTTATACAACTCTTAGCTGTGACACATATGCTGCCTTCCCGATGGCGAGCAAATGGAAATAATTTTTGACATTAAATAGAGAAAAAAAATTGTAAAAAGGCAAGATTAATGACATAGTTAAGTGAGGCCGAGACCCCAACCTGCCTACCCAATATCCATTCTCTCCTATATCCTTGGTAAAAGAATCTGTATTTCCGCAGATTCTTGCACAGATCAGAGAAGTCAGCAGACTTCATTGGGTGACATTCCTGGGAAGGTCTTTCTGCCCCTTTGTCCCCTGCCCCTTGGCTTCATTCTGCCTGGAACACCCACTTGATGGCTGGAGTCGCTGCAGCCATTCTGTGATCTTGAGGAGGAAATTCATTTGCATATGAGAGCAGAACAGGAAGACGTTAGGAACCTACGTCTCTGCCTGATGATTTGTGGAGCTGCCACAACAGTTCTATAACCTGTCTAGTTCAGGACTAATTTTTTTGTTATGTGTCAGAAAAAAGAGCCAATTTGCTTACATTACTGTAACTGGATCTGACCTAAACAAAATCTTAATTAATATACAGATGGGGTCAGAGCTGATGACTCTCAAATCCAGCCCTCAAGGCCAGCTGCTAAAAACACGTTTTACAAACTCTACAAAATAATGAGAAATTCCTATACTTACAATTAAAAACTGATCTGCAAATCAAATATTCCTTACTGATGTGATCACTAATGCGCAGGAAGGAAAGGAGAAGAAGAACCTTAGAGTAACAGGAGAAGTGGGGCACCTGGCTGGCTCAATCCAAAGAGCATGTGACTCTTGATCTCAGGGGTCTTGAGTTCAAATCCCACATTGGGTACGGAGCTTATTGAAAACAACAACAACAACAACAACAACAACAACAACAACAACAACAAGAATAGGAGAAGTGCCTGGAAATCAGAGCTGTTTGGCAGATACGTCCCAAGAGACTCTATTTCACCAGGAAAATTCGACAAATAATTACATAGTGGAAGAGCCATTACTTCATAACAAAGTGCTAAGCAGCTGGTGGAATCCAAGCCAAAATATAGTCAGCCTTTTTTAAAGGTATCCAGGACCATTTAAACGATAGTTTATATAAATGCATCTTTTTTGAGAGGTTGGAAGAGGTAGGTTTTTTGTCCCAAGGAGACTTAAAACCAGAGTTTCATACCTCAGACTCACAAAAAGGGTTAAAATGAAACGTGAATGGACTTAACAAGAGAATGGAGAAAATAAAGACAATTAGAGTCATTCATCAAAATAACATCGTGTCAGCAGCTCAAGACAGATCACTGCTGAGGGAGCAGGGCAGAAAGAAGAGAAAGAAACAAGAAATTAACCCCACCGCAAAGGGAGTCCGAATCGGCTGGAGAAAAGGCATATGGTTTTACTGCTAATTCTAAGAAAACAAAACAAAATGGAGGAAAAAAGAACACCAAGGATTTCTACGCCAACAATTCCACCATCTTGGGCATATGCAAAATGCATAAAGGCTCTTCAGGGAAATAAACACACACGTGCCCGCATCTTTAATAAAAGCTGCTAGACTTGGATACTTTTTCTAAAACAGAACCAACAGCTACCTATCGTGTTCTCCGCATAGTTGCTTCTCTGAGAGTGTTCTGAGCCTGCCCTCTGGAATGCCTTGAAGTCTTTTGCTCTTGCTAAACATAAGCATACAGAGAAAAAGACTTCTGAAAGATCTACCAAATTTCCCCATCCCTCAGGTATAAGATTACCCTGCAACCCCTTATCTTCTGCTTCTGTTACGAAAACAGAAGATCAGAAAAAGATACGACAAATGTCCTCCCAACTTCCTTTGTGTTTCAGGGTTGACTGGGATGCCACAATGCTACGTTGACGTTGGTAGCCCATTCGCGGCACTATCACTAAATACAATCCACGTCATCCTATTACTGAAAATCCTTTGTTACGGTTTTTCCAGCGATAACATGCATGAGAAATGGACATAGCAGGTGGGTACGTCAGATTGACTAAGGACCACCACGGAATAACACCAGTGATTTTTCTGGGATCAAACAGAATCAATTTAAGCAACCTAGTTAGCTGGCTCTAACTCAAGCCAACCAACCAAGGCATCACCTAGGTCCAATCTAGGAACCACTTGCATCAATGGTCTGTCTGGAGCAATAGAAACCTGAGAACCATATTCTCACTCAAACCTGTGATCTTCCAGCCATCAACACGTTGAGATAAACGTCCTGCAAAAAGTGAAGAATTCTCTCTGGCCAAGGAGAGCAATGTCTTTCGAAGTGCACGAAAGGTGCAAAAGCTACTATGCCCACGTCCATATATAGTTTTGGTTAGGTTGTTATTGGGGAAAGCTGTATTCTCAAGTGCTGAGGTCCTTAGCCATCAAGAAGTGACAACATGAGCTGACAGAGTCACCAAGTAAGTCAGGTATAAAATCAGCTTCATTGTAATTTTTAATTTTTTGTACTGAACTTTGTAATTTTTCAAATAACTTTCATACTCGCCAGCTCGTGTAACTTTACAACCACTCTGAAACACGAGTAAAGAAGCCACTGGTCTTTCTGCTTGACCACTGGGACCAAAGGAGCTCAGTGGGCCTGAGGTATGGCCACCATAGTAGATGCTTCAGACAAAGCAGAGGAGGAAAAGAGGGTGGGAAGGGGCTTGGGTGTATGGGGACACTGCCCTGATGAGCTGAGTGACCTTGGGCAAGTCACTTCTTTTTTAAATTCCCTATCTAGAAGATCAGGGAAGGGAGAGTTCAAGTCTGTCATTTCTGAGGACCTCTTCTATAGACACATCCTGAGGGTTACTAATTCCACAAGGGAAACTAGAGGCAAATGAAATGAGCCAAGAACAGAATATTCAAAGTGAGGAAAGTGGACAGAGGGAAGAAGAGAGAAGACAGGAAAAATCTATGTAAGGATGACAAGAGACTCAGAAAATAGTCCCAGGACTGCAGCATTGGTGAGCGTAAGGACACCATTTCCAAAGGGATAAAATCAGATCTAAAACTTCTTGTAGCCAACTTTTTTGTGATGATGATGATGATGGTATCACTGATACACTAACTTTTTTATTCTTGCAGTGGAAAGCAAGTGCAGAAGGTGGCATTGATCATATTCCTAGGGGTGTGGATGCATCATTATTTCCGGCCTTTTGTACGAGTAGCAGATTTTGTTTGGTCGTTAACAGATAAGTGGGAATAAGTGCAAATTCAGAATTTGCATTTGGATATATCCCAAGCGACCTCACAGCTCCTTTAAGGGACCAACACAGGCTGGGACAATCCTGGTATCCCACTAGTGAACAAAATAAGTTCACGGTATATCTGCGTTTCTTTGATTTTAAGACCCTCCATCAATTTAAAAACGGCCTTCCATTGCCCCCCCACCCCCAGCCACCTCCTGCAAAAGAGAGAAAAGAAAAAGGAACACCGTCTCGCATTAAATGTACCCATACACTGAAAAGCACATTGGGATTTGAGGGAGGCTAAAATGAGAGAAGGGGGGTTTTCAGATTGAGGCAATAATGATGGATCGGTGTCTTGCAGCAGTATTGCACTGTAATGTAAGTCTTCCCAATTTTCAAATGTAAAGTTGAACCTCCTGGCCCCAAAAGGTATTACGCATGCTAAAACACACTGCGTCAACTTCTATTCTAAACGACGGCGACCGAGCTGACAGCTACAATTTTGCCCGTTTCTGCCGCCCCGAGACAAAAGAACGGACTGGGGTGCTACTTGCCTTTCCAGGCTCACACTCTGTCCCGTCTGCCCAGGGCGTGTGCTGAGTCCGGCAGCCTTTGTGCGCTCCGTCCACATTATGGCACCAGAGCCGTCTACACTGCATCTGCTCAATTGCGTTAAACAAAAATTCAGCGATTAGACGTTATGGGACCAGGCAAGGACTGCTTTCAACTAACGTTTGGCCGGCGAGAGAGGGTGGGTTGGAAAGGGATTGGTTTTTTTTTCCTTGCCATGATGAATGATAAAATATTCCAAAGGCTTAGAGGGCAGCCCGTGAGACACATTTCGACGTCTGGTAGGACTTCAGATGGTGTAAAGGGGGAATCTTTGCCATCATGAGTAATGCAGAAAGGAATATAATCATGGACAAGTTTTACTAAAAATGTTTACTATCTCCCTGGAATCCCTGTGTTTCCCAATTCACCATGCTATCTCGGAAGTCTCTCCCTCCAAAACAGCCAAACAGACTCCCACAGGAAGGAAAGGGGGTACCTTATGGAAGCACACGTGCACCCTGATAACCAATGGATAGCATTGGTCCAAGTGCCCACAGCGCAGAGATTAAAATATCCCACACCCACCACTTGAGCTACTGCCAGAAATGATCTCAAGCCCCACATGGTCACGGGACACGGCCCTGACAAGCTGAAACCGGGGAATAGGTTTGCCTCATGAACCGCCTTTGCCGAATCTAGAAGATTCTGTGTGGTAAAGGTCACCCCGACAAGTCAGGGGAGACGAAAAGAGGTAAGGAGAGAAAAGGGCTGAGCTGTGCCATCACCAGCTCTGTGACCCCTTCCTCTCTGAGCTCATTTTCCACGTGAAAAATGAAAATGATAATGGGGATCTCTCTTTTGGGCTGCCATGACAGGGTAATGAGAATGTGTAGGTGAAGTACCACCCAGCAGCAAGCACTATTCCTACTTGATCACCAACATCACTATTATTACTATTGTCCTGAACAGCCAGTGGACCCTTCTCAAGTTTACCATGAGTGGCTGATGTTAGACTAAGAAGCCAGGGGGAAACTGTGAATTAAAAATGCCACAATCAGGGCACCTGGGTGGCTCAGTCCATCAGGCATCCGACTCGTGGTTTCGGCTCAGGTCATGATCTCGTGGTTTCGCGAGTTCGAGCCCCTCACTGGGCTCTGCACTGGTGGCACAGGGCCTGCGTGGGATTCTCTCTGTCCCCTTCTCTCTGCACCTCCCCCACTCGGACTGTCTCTGCCGCTCTCAAAGTAAGTAACTGAAATGTAAAAGTGTTAGAAAACTGTCCAGAATCAAGGGATGAGGGCAGAGATGGCCCCACACACTTACCATATATGGGCACACCTGAGAACCTGGTCCAAAAATCAATTCACATTGTTTATTCACGTTGTAAAGGAGGCCCGGCAGTTGGGGAGGCAGAGGGTAGCGTCTGGCTTCAGGTTCATTAAGCAAACACTCACCATAACCAGTGCTGTGAAAGCAGAAAAACACAGATGGTGAGAGCAGTGGATGAGACGTGGCTGTCAAAGGCTCCAGACGCAAGTGAAGGCCATCCCGCCTTTTAAAGGTAGAACGGATAGTTTATTTTTCAAATGTGCTTTACTCTGTATATCCCAGGCTAAACTCCAGGAGCTGAAGTTCTATTTTTGGCATATACTTGTTTGTGGATCTGCTGGCTATCCATACAATATAGTCAGTAGGAAATATGTAGTTTTCCTAGCATTTATCACATTTTGGGGCAATTACCTATCATTATTTGCTATCGTCTCCAATAGACCGCAAGCTTCATAGGGGCAAAGAAACTATCTTTTTCATGTGCGCATGGGGCTCTAAACATTATAGCAACAGGTCTTAGTAATTGTTTGCTGAATAGATGAGTGAGTCAACCTACAACCACAGTAAGCAACCCTTCAGATCATCTGGTTAAAAAGAAAAAACAGCAACCCTCCGCTTCTTTGACTTTTCTGCAAACACCTCTTCTGGAAAATTCACACCTGGTGAGTTCTGATTAATAAGCCCCCTCTTCCCTGTGGCTGAAGAAATATACACCCAGTGACCTTGGACAATCACTTAACCTTTCGTACATCTGGGAGAGAACAGCAATAAATCTGTGACACAGGGATATTGTATAATGTAACTGGATCTCTGAACTGCCTGGCAGGAAGCTTAAAAAACAAAACAAGAAAAGAGAGGAAAGAAGGAGAGAGAGAGGGAGACAGAGACAGAGACAGAATGTTCTCAATTCAACAACATGGAGGTCTGTGTAATTTTCATCCACCCACATTACCCTCTTTGGGGTCGTCTCACCACCCTCCCCCTTTCCAAGCCAAAATTACTAAGTTGCAACCACATAAATATTTGTGGCCTTCCTTCATCGTGTAATCACCATCATGGTCCCTCCCCGAAGACCTGAACAGATTTCATATCTTTACCAAGAATGAAGCAACATTTACATATTCTCTTTAAGATCCTGACCTTTTCTTTAGCTCAGTCTGTAATCTTCAAAACTCTGGCAAGGATAGAACTGCACAGATGTCACAGAGTATTTTTTTTACCTCCTCCCAGGAATGTCAACAAAAATAACAACTCAAAAGGAATGCTTGACTCTACATTTTCTTTCCCACAATGAGTTCACTACATGGAGGCCAGACAGTAGAAGCTCGTGCTTAAAAGAAAGTTTAAGTCTTACTCTAAAAACTCAGTGATATATTTTCGACTACATTTTGACCACATCCAGGGGTTGGTGTAGAAGTTCAATGTGGGAGCCATGACATGCTGGGGACTCTTCACTCCTTCCTCTTTGCACTTGTTGTTGTCATCGTGAGGCATGTTGAACCTAAGGCCAAAGAGACAAAGATGGGAACATCAACAAACACCAAAGGGTTGAGCTCTCATCCTTGCTACAAGAATGCATCTAAGAGCAAAAAGTTAACTGACGTCTTCATTGTGGCTAAGAACCTACATCCTGGTGATCACAAGAAAACCTACTGGATGGTTCGAGGCAGAGTGAAGCATAAAACAGAATTCTCCCCCAATTTAATACAAGGGGCCTTTAATGTATAAAAAAACAAAACAAAACAAAACAAAAAAAAGGACAGTGGGCCATGATCTGGGTCAAGTGTATTTTTTGGAATTGCAGAGGCTGTGAACGTGCTATAGTTGGTGCTAGAAAACAGTAGTTGGAATTCCTAATAAGCTGTTAAAGGCCAATTTATAGAGTCAAGAATTTGGCCAAGTTATGATAGCATCGTGAATACAAAGAGTCAGTCAAGTGTCAAAACTTGAGGCCAAAAGCTTTCTAATAAGAGGCTCACTATGGGTCTTGGCATCCCTCCTTTTGGGTCCGGCTGATGAATGATATAACCGCATAGGTACATCATTATAAAGGAATGTGAAGTTCGTGCACAATAAAACCCATTAAGGAAAGCGGCAGGCGTGGAAGCCGGAGACATGCCAATTCAATTGGCTTAACGCAGACATGGCAAATAGTTTCATGCTTCCTGCCAACGCCAATTGATTGGTACTGGCTTCCTAAAAAGTTGGGCACAAAAAGATTCTAAAACTAATCCAGGTTCTACCCAAGAAAAGGCGATGATGGAGTGTCAACGTCCTCTGGGGCTTGGGAGGGAACCCAGCAGCAGCATTAACACATACTTGCCATTCTTGGCTTTGCCAGAGAAAATGGGGCAC